CAGGAAGCGTATTTCAATCTGACCCAGCTGTTTTTTATTTTTTAAACTCCTTCAGTTGGTTGCCATTGACCCCAAAATTTTCAAAACCCTCTTTTATTATTCCTTTCCCGCAAGTTTTGAAGAAGTATTTTTTCTCAGATTCGCAGTCTTCAAGATCTACAATACAATGCTTTTTAACTCCACAATTTTGAAAATAATGTGGGGACGAATTCAGTGGACCCCCAATTGAAAACGCTTCATTTCTGGCGGAAATCATTGGGTCAACAAGCCGAAATTCGGTCAACTGGCTGAAATGAAAGTTACAGTACGATAAGAATTCAAAGAATGCATTTTTGCACTGAAATACAATTGCTTTTCTCATCTGTCACCCTGATACGGTACGTACAATCTTTTGATTCTTTTTTAACCTTAATGTTAGTCTGATATCTTTATCTGATTGCTCTCCAGTTAATTGTGCATCTTCTTTCTACTTTGTGGGTTGTTTTGTCAACTGTAGCCGTATGCTTGAAACTGTGCTCCTGAATCACCCAGAATCAGGTATCTTGAAATGCAGAGTGTGAAGTCTTTTTTTTTTTGCTATGAATTTGAGAAAATCCAGCTGATGTACAGGGCATTTGATGAATGACTGCGAGTAATTCTTAACATTGTTATTTCAAAAGGGAATACGTTCAATTGTGCAAAATGTTCTGCTGTTTGGAAGTGAAGAAGGTGATACAGTAACTGAAAAAAAAAAAGAATATAGCTTTGCAAACTTTTGTCTGGAACACAATTATACAGAGGTACCCAGCACTACAAACCCCCCACAGAACAAACGTTCCACTGAATGAACTTTTTTTTTGGGGGGGGGGGAAATCTGCCATTTTCACCCCCACAGAACAAACCAATTTTGAACTACAAACAAGGGTGAATGTTCACCCTTATTTGTAGTACAAATTTTGTGCTATGAACAAGGTTTTTTGTTTGTAGCACAAAAACATTTCTGTGTTCTGAGACAATTGTCTCAGAACACAGAAATTTTCATATGTGACAAAGGGTCAAATGACCTTCTTCACATGTGACAACTGCCAACATAAATTTTCGTGGCATTTGTCACATCTGACCATGGTCATTTTAAGAAAAAAATTATTTTTTCTTCTTGACTATTGGAACCAATTAAACAATTTCCCATACAAGAGTTATTGGAAATTGTGACTCACATTACAAATGTATCGCACTACAAACGTAGCTCTGGAATGAATTACGTTTGTAGTGTGAGGTTCCACTGTATAAGTATTATTTACATAGGAGGGTTAACTGTGTTAAGAATTTTAGAAGAAGGAATTCAAACAAGAACTGCAATCAGTTCAATAGCAAATTAAAGTCATTATGGAGTCTGATTTGATTTTATGAAAATAAAAGCATGAGGGATATTCCTACAATAAGTTCTAAGACAAATCAGAATCAATAATAAATGGGAGTTTGGAATTCTGCAAATAGCTTTGAGTCAACCACCATATTAATTGTATGTCAAATATTAAGTATAATTTCCTCGAATTGCTATGCATTACAATGTATTTTATACAATTTAAAGCCAATACATTCATATGCTTGCTACGATGACATGACCTTCAGAATGTTGAACACATTGCTATAGACACACGTCCAGCTCTTTTTTCAAATATTTTTCGAGCTGGGTGGGCAATTTTTATCTATACAGTATATACAGTAGTACAGTCCTTATACAAGGTTGGATTGATGAATTAAAATAAAAATTCCGATCATTCTGCAGAGGGCAAATACCCATATCGTGAAGTCGTGCCCGTTAAAAAGCCTTCCCTTTTTCAAGGACAGAGATAACAAGAAGATTTAAATCTTTATAAAAAAATTGAATTGAATTCCATTAGTATCGATTCCCTTTTGATCCATGGATATGATTAGGTTCTCGGGAGCCGAAACGATTTGTTATAGGAAGGCCAAGTGCTGGTGTAATAACACCTGCTGCGATTTCAGAAAAGCGAGGAACCTTCTTCTGAAGTCCTCGCACAATTCCGTATATCAGCACTTCACCTTTAATAATAAGGCAAGGAAACTGCAATTGGCCAAGAAATAATCGAGAATGAAAAGCAACTCTTAACATAAAAGCTATAAAAAAATTGATTCTGAGTCCATCAGGAAAGATCTCAGTACAGTAATGTCATAATCGCTGCTATATTGGTTAATTGATCGGTTAATTTAATCCCAGCGTCGGGAATAGTTCATCACACATTCTTGATGAACTGATTTGAATCGGGAGCTCATTATTGATTCCCTCATTTCTGTGATGTTTCGAAAGTCATTTATCATTGACGTATTTTTTTTTATTGTTTGACCTCTCTAACTTGAACCTCGTTAGCCAAAATCCTCCCGTACCTAACTCGATTTATTTCTATTTTCTGTTGAAAGTACAATTAAAAAATTTAACCTGAACCTCCTCAACTCACATTTTTTTCCACTCTGAACCTCCATAACTCCAATTTTTTTAGAAAAAGAAGAGTAGGAATTCAAATGGTGATGGTTTTTTTTTTTTAGGAAAATGAGCAACATTAATTGGTCCACAAAATCCTGGGTTGAGGTTCTGCATCATGTAGACTCATTTATGCTGCAGTTTCCTGTGGTTTGTCTTTTTTATGCAGTGGGAATAATTAAGGACATGCTTATGGACACACTACACACAGTAGCAGCAAAAATGCCAGTACCAATTGCTTATTTTAAAATATACAGCAAGCATTTTCAGACCTAGTTTCCCCAGCCTTCTTAACTCAAAACCTCTCTGTCAATTTTTTTTGGTAACTCCAAAATCGACTTATGCTGGAGAGGTCAAACAGACAAATCGCATTATTTTCTTTTTTATGCAGTGACGCGTAACTAACTTATTCAACAGCTTTCCATAGACGAGAAATCAAACAATAATTTGTAAGTTAACTTCTAGGAATTAACTTTCAGCGAATAAATATAACTCACAATTTTGCAAGTAACACCTCAATAAGTAAGTCGCATGATACAATAGTTCATGCTCTTGAATAAGAAAAAACAGCTGGCTTTGGAACAACTTAATTTTATATAGGTACTGTATTCTTGTTTAAGTATTTTCTTAATTTCAATTACTGTACTGTACTGTGAATGGATTATGTCTAAATTAGACCATAACGAGCTCAGTTTCAACATGTTCGAACTTTACGAAGATCGTTCGGTTCAATAACTCTCAAAAAACATTAACCTGGGCATAGAGCCATAGAGAAAACATTTTTGATTTAAATTTTTGCTGGAATTATGACGGTAGCCAAGTTTTGAAAATGAGCAACAAATTGGTGTACAATAAAATAATTTTTTCAGCGTCATAAGGCACGAAGTCGCCCAGTACTTTATGATCTTCAACTCACAAAGATTATTATCTTATCAGTACTGATTGTGAACCAAAAATCAAAAGATAAGCCACGGCTGGTGAGTAGTACCCGAACAAAATAATTACAGCACAGTATCACACTGTCCCTATACTCCCTCCATGAAAGTTAATTGCTTATTGTATTACCCCTGGTTAATTTTCATTACAGGACAGTTAGAATTCGAAGGTCATCGTTGTATCCGTTACACCCTGATCTGTACTGCATAACTAATACTGTACTGGGAACCCCGAGTCGCACTTCAGGCTAGAATAGTCTGCGGTGAATCATCAAAATTGTTCGAATCCAAGAGTTCTCAAATTTCAACATGTTTTTGACCGATACTCCGATTTATTTTCCAGAAATTGAGGAAAATTAGAATAGGCGGGTAAAATATGCTATGCTTCTTCTTACCTTTGAAATTAATTAAATTCAGGAAGGTCGGAGCACAAATTCATCAGGGTTCCTTGTTGAACTTCATACCTATAATTTTGCAATTTTATGCTGAAAAGTAGGAAAAATTAGCAGCTTCAATGGCTAAGGCTTTCTGGTGAGTGTTTTGAAGCGTTTAAATACTTTAAAAATACATTTTAAGGGAAATTGCGTTTCGCGTGATGAAAAATTCTGAGTTATAGGACACACCCATGAATAGATTAACTTTGTTCTATGCGGAACCAATATATGGTACATCAACTTCTCTGATAGCTTCAAACATGATTTCAGCTGTTTTGAACCAGTCTTCACAACTTTTGAAGTCACCCATCAACTTGTTTCACAAAATTAAACATCCTGCAAACCTAAACACTTGTTGGGGTACTGTACCATAGAGGAATAATTTCTCCATCGTAAGTGTGAAGAATTGAAAGGTAAAAAAACACCCTGTCATGCAAGAAAAATCTTGAATCTTGTGCATGTGCCCTTGAAGTCCAACAAACTAATGAGTGAGTGAGGTACAATGAAGATCTACTGGCCAATTTTTGGCATTCACAAGGTTTGCAAGATTTTTCCATTCCCCATTATTGATAACCAATGATGTAATTGAGAGTAATTCTACGGAAGTACCACAGATGAAAAGTTTCAATTCACGATCTGGTTTACTTAACATGAAATCAAGTTAAAGTGATCCCATTTGAGCATTTGCAGTAGGACATAGCGATGGATTGTGTTTGAGGGAAGGCCATATAGGAGAAATCATCCTTGATAAAATCGATTTTTTGAAAAACTTATTGGAACAAATGCGTTATCCACAGGTTCAGATTCTTTACAAAATAATCCTTCACGCCAGAATATCCTGATGCATTACGTATATTTGTGTTTCGGCGACTTCCACGTCAAGAAACTCATCCAAAACGAAGGCCACACAACACTTAGAACAATAGACCGCCAGATTACCACAGCTCACATCACATTCGATAAGTGCACCTTTCCGAAAGCCGATAAATCCTCACATAGATATATAAAGCTCTCACATTCAACAAGAAATGCATACACAAACAATCCATTAATCTAGCTTTCTTCTTAGATTGTAGCGGGAGGAATCAGTTGTCTTTAAGGGGAGTAAAGCATTCAACAAGTTAATTGTTGCGAATCTTCTGCACATACTCAGCAGCCAACTTGAGGACATCTTCTAGCGTAATTGATGCCTTTGCGGCTTCCAGACGCAACTGAATCCCTTGCTTCGCCTTGTTGAACATCAGCTGCCAGTCATCCTGGAGTTCAATCAATTCCAGCTGCATGAATGCCACCGCAAGGGCAGTTGCCCAGATGATTACGTCTGCATCGAGCTTATTGTCGCTCGCACCTGCACACAGGAAAGAGTTAGATATTAAACCCGAAACGTGAAATTCTTACTTCGTGACTAGTATAACTTCCTAGAATATCAGAAAGGTGTCGCCCGAATGCACATTAAAACACTAAAGGTCCCGATCGGATGATTGTAATCCGTGACTAACAGCCGCCTGAAATGTCAGGCAGGTGTCGCCCGAATACCGAATCATCAGAGACCTGCCCAACACAACCCTGTTTCTTCCTCGATATTAGGAGTTGGGTATTCCACACATGGAAAGTATCACTGATCATCATTCTAGACGTTCAACATACAATATGACTTCCCGAGGTCCGCGCGGCTTGAGATATTGTTCATCATTTTGTTAAATAGACGCAATTTTTACTTGGAAAAAAGCCAGCGCTTATTTTCCCGAATTTCCTTGCAATTTTCCCACAGTGGACGAGCAGAAAGAACCGTTTTTCCTGGGACTGGCGAAATGCCAATTTTGTCCCAGTCCGAGTGTTTCTTCAAGGTCAGCTATCAGTAAGCCAGGCGGGATTCGCTCAGGTTTCTCTTTAAAACTGCATGATCATGGCGTCCGATGATAATATTTTCATAACATGCGTGAGACTTTTTCTTTACGATCGCTCAACCGTAAAAAAGTTTTACCGCGGCTTCGTTCCTGTCAAGACCGGTAAACTTGAACATAATTCGTATCGCAAACGAAGAAATGAATCTTTTTAATAGCTAAAAATAGATTCAAGGCCATGTGAAATTCGGAAAAAAGTATTTGATCACGCAATTGTACGTGGGAAAATTGGCCGGGTCCCTTCTTTTGTTCGAAATCTAACGCATTCCTTTTGCATACTATAACTTGAGCACTTGAAAACATAATTCGAGTTATCTTGCGATACACTGAATTTATACTATTAATGAGCAACTTCATTGCTTCAAAAGAATTCGATTCTATGAACAGATTTATTCCATCAATCATCATCACGAAGTGTTTTACCCAGCAAAATTAGTTTTAGTCATCAGGCAATCTGGGACAAGGGAATCCGGGGATTTTTATTTCTCTACTAAGGTAGATTATCTTCGTAGCATACTTCAACAATACTGTACCTGAATCAGCAAGTTCCATCCTGAACAAAACTGATGCAACACAATCCCATCAGAAGCAAAATTAACCCACTTCCGAAAATAACCCAGACCGAATCAACGGAAACCCAAGTTGAAAATCGTAGAGCCCAGGACATCGAATATCAGAGTGACAAGAACTAACAAAAGATTGACAAACCTTTCCGAATGTTAGCTTCGTCAGTCTTCAGCACTTCCGCCAATTTTTCCGTGACGTCAAAACAACCGTCGAACAGTTGTAAATCAACCAGTGCCCTCAATTTGGATTCATCGTCCCATACCAACGGAACTCCCGGCTTCTGAATTCCTTCGGGCTGGGATGGAACACCGCCGAAACCCAGGGATTCGTCTTCGAATTGCTGAGGAACGACCGAATCGTACCGCACACCCGCAAACGGTGCTCCAACTGCAATGATCAAGGGGATGGTTGACAGTTTGAAGTTTGAACTAAGGTCAGATGACTACAACAGATCTTCAAAATTCAGGTCAGATCTAAAAATTAAGCATGAAAGAAAAATAAAACAATACATGACTTGAAACCACTACCGGAAGTCCTATGATCCAAATTCGCAACGCAAAAGTAAGCAGCCTTCATTCTACGCTGAGAAAAATGCCTCATAGGACATTTACTTTTCGGGACGCCGAACTGTACACTACAATCATGCACACGCCAACAATTCGATGAGAAACTTTGTATTCCCCGGAGAAAAAAAAAATGCTTAGCGATTCGAGAAAAAAAAAACGTACTGTACCAGAACAAAGACCAAAAATATTGCTGAAAAAAATTAGGCACGGGTCTCTTTCCTCAGAATTTTGCGTATCTCGTTCGCTTTGGAATACGCACACGTGTCCGAGCTCGCATTACTCAAAAACTAGGCCAACCGCAGTAAGAACGATCCCCATTCAGTAAAATTATAAGGAACTCCTGTTCACATGATGAGGGGAAAATCGGAACTCTGATTACACATTACTAACGTGGGAAAGGTGGTGGACCACTGCATGGCAATGGTCCACTTTCGAAAGCCATCACACTCCCTCTGGCCAGCACGTCCGTAGATTTTGCGCATCTCGCCACTCGCTTGAGCATCATGCCTCCGACAGGCGGCGGAGGAGCACACATTGGCATAGAATTTGCGCAGAACATGGCTGGAACATAAACGCATAAAGCAATCAGGTCACTGTTAGAAACACAAAGCCAAGTACAGAGGTGCATCAAACTAAGCACGATTACAGTGGGTCCACGAGGAACGAATGACCCAAGCAGCCAATCGTTTACATCACGAACCCGTACGCGGGCGCCGTTCTGCATTAGGCAACTAATTTGATTTGAGGGATAAATGTGAAATCCATGAAAAAATCGTTTGAACAAATTTAATGCAATAATTTCCACACATTTTAAAAGCAAGAATTCGTTCTCATGGGAGAATTCCGAGGTGACTTTGAAGACAAACTATAATTTGAAGTACTTTATCAATGTCTTTTCTGCTTCCAATTGACGCTACAGATCATTTTCCAAGCTAAAATTAGTAGTGCCTGGACTGACTGCTCTTTTATTTTCGTATCGTTCATTTTCGACGAATTTCTTCATTATATCACATGAATTAATTCTGGAACGAATTAACCGATTCCCATACTACGGGGAAATTACTACTTGAAAATTTCAGAAATTTGTTCAGCAAAACGTTCACTCTTGAAAAGATAGCTCATCGTCTTTTTCACCACTCACAGCTGCCTGGGATAAGTTATCAGGGCCCGAGATATTCTATGCCATTTTAACACAACGAAAAAATACTCTTGAAGGGCACGAACTCTTTTCTCAACATGGAAACTCGTCAAATGCATTACATATACTGTACTGTATACCGTCTCATAAAGCGAAGATAATCATATGATCTGATCCGGAATTTAAAAGATGAGAAAGATTCTATTTGGCAATTTTCTTGAGGTGCAGCTCTTGCACTTCAGTAATGATCATAACGTGACAAGGAGTCGGAAAGAAGGCAAATTAAAAAACTTTCAGAGAATCAAAAATGAGCTTTCTTTGAGCCAAAATTCAACTTCTGCACAGGAGAATTTCTGGCTTTATCCTCAAAATTCGAGAATAAAGATATTACAGTACTTCAGTTAATCATTCAAAGCTGTCACAAACTGACAGAACCATTCCCATGGCCAATTAATTTATCATAAGATAAGCCTGGCTCATCTTCTACGGAATGTATCGGACCGTAGGTGTGATCTCATGGGACAGGGTTCATTAGGAACTACTGAACTATCTTATGACCATTCTTCTTATACCATATTGAGGGATGGCACCTCCAATCATTCCACCTCCTCCATAACCGTATGGCATTTGCGAAGGCACTTTCCTCGTTTCCATCGTTATGGCACCGTCAGTTGTCGATGACTTGGTGCTGTCTACTGCGATGAAGGCCGTTTCTCGACTTAAAATTCCTGTAAGGATTGAAAGGGTAAAATCAATATACTATTGAATTCCGAATTCACGTGTTGACATTTTCTATTGTTCCAGCTTATATAACGGAAACTCTTCAAATAGCAGAAGAATTACGATTGGGGAAAAATAATGCCACTAACTCAATCTTCAAGACTTCGACCAAATTTTCTCGGAGGAAACGAAGAAAGAAGAAAATGCAATCCAGTACAGTAGAATTACTGTACAAGGATGCATCACCAAGTCAAAATTGGATTTGGATTCCATATATAAAAAAAAACAGAATACAGTACGTCGAAAAAGTTTTCATAAGGCATAGACCAAGAATAATAATACTGTACTCGACCACTTATTAATACAGTACCTAATACTAGACCAAGAAATCACTGCACAGTACTGTACTTCGAATATATGTTCAAGAGGAAAATTAATGCTTGCGATCATCATCAATGCAAACTCACCGTATTTAGTAGACAAACTCACAAGAGCTTCTTTAACCTTCTTCTCAACGGCTTGCCTCCTCTCCCAATCCTGCATTTCGTCCAGATTCTCGTGCAACTCACTCGTACCCTCTTCTAAATCTTGAATTCTCATCTTGACCGCCAATCTAAACAAAAAAAAAGAACAAAAAACAGAGCAAATGCTCGTCAGGTTCGCAGATGAGGCTTTGAACTTTGCTGAGCCAACAAAGACGCGCCACACCTCGAAGATTACGCCCACGAATAAATCTTAAAAAGGCTCGAGTTCTCTTCCTGGCACACATCAACGACTTCGGCTTTTCACACTTGTCCGTCAACAAAAGCAGGAGCTATTTACATCCACCACTACACTATTTTTTCGTAAGTTGGCAAACAGCATTGTCATTACGACAATCCCTTATTCAGACGTAGTTCAACGATCAAGCCGGAGAAGTTCAGAAAGGCTTGTTTGAAAAAAACTTCGTACAGTATTCCTTAGAACCATTCGTTGGTTCAACCAAGCTTCAGAGGAAAAAATACTGTTCATTGTAACAAAAAGGCAAACTTTAGACACATGATTTGACTAATTATAATGAAAACTGCGCAATATGGGCACATGCATTACAGTATTTTCCCAAGTTCTACCCCAACCGCAAGAACTAAAGATAATCATCACTCAATATTTTCCCTCTTGATAGCATTATAACTTTTTTATATTGGAAGATGTTGTCTGAATTTACAATCTGATCAAGTGAATCTAAACGAAGGGGTGAATCAGAATTAAACATGATTCTTGATATGCCGGTGCACATCGTACTATGATGCTTTAAGTTCGAATGGAAATTAAGTCAATGACTGACATTGTACAGATATTATTTTCAAATGATTCCGCAAATTGCACGTATCGATAAAAGATGAAGCTTTGAACGCTGGAAGAATGAAATGCTAGAATAAAGTTTCAGTGAAATGTGTTCAATCAGGAAAAAATAAAATTTTGATAGTATTCGAACAGTAGAATTCTGTTACAACGAATCTCGTTATAACGAATTTTTCATTATAACGAACTTTTTGTGGTCCTGGCAGTTTCCCATAGGCGTAATGTTATAAAAATCTCATTATAACAAAGTAATTTTAGGCTTTAATCTCATTATAACGAATTTTTGAGCATGATTCTGTGCATTGGCCATATAGGGATTCCTCAATACATGGCAGAAAATGTAGAAAAACCTAGAAGATGTTGCATTAAAAATCCACAAAAAGAAATCTTTATGCATAGCAAACTTGGTGTCCAAAAAAAATGCACAACAGGACATGTTTTTGGAAAGCTTTAGCTCATCCATTTCATAATGTATGCCTTTTTCATATGAACAGTATGTTAGAAGAAGGTTCCTCTATGTTTAAAAGAGCTATGAGTGAATAAGTTGGCTGAGAAGGAAGTGCAGTATTTTTACCATATGTAACATTGTTTCATTTTATTTTATTTTTCAAGACAAGTAATACTTTAGTACAAATCTTAGTTCATCTAAAGGAGAGTTCTATTTGCATCAAAGGATTTCTTTTCATTTCATCAGAAGTACTAATTAATTGTGCTAGGTCTTGCATTATTTGTTACAGAAGCATTTTGTATTTATTCCCAATTTTCAATAAAATTCAAGTCGTAAATGTGCTAAAAATCATTAATCTCAGTATAACGAATTTTTCGTAATAACGAATTTTTTCTCAGGTCCCTAGGAGTTCGTTGTAACGGGATTTTCCGTATTTATCCGAATACTATGGATACCACACGCACTTCTTCTGGAAAATCGCGGCAGAAAAGTGGGGTGCGCGTGGTATGAGGGTATAAATGTTAAAAGAAAAAAATCATTGAACTATATTGGATACAGTCAGCAGTTAGTCTCAGGTGAAAAATGGATCGAAAATTCTGTTCGACAACCAATCCTGATCCAATTCTTCGTGTTCTTCGATTCAATTACCCGTATAACGTTGTTCTGTTACGAATTATCACTTGGTAAACAAAAAAAGGGGTGCGGGTATAATGTGGGGATAGTTTTTTTAACAAATTTTGTGCCAAAAATTCATGGTGCGAGTTTTACTCGAGGACATACGGTACTCGAGTAAATACTGTACAAGAATTCAAATACAATTCATGTGTCTTATTTGGTGAAACAGACGAGCGTTCAAGCGGAAAAAGACTTCCAAAAGCACTGATCGACGATTTACCTGTGAATCGTGTTTCCTTTGGTGACTCCTTCACCATCAACAGGCAACTCCACCGTAAGTGGGCCATCGGGTGCATCAGCATGAATGACAACCGGTCCCAATACCGATGAAAAGTCTTGTTTCTCACCCAGCAGCGATTTGGGAAACATGCAAAGCTGAGTGAACCTACTGCCATCGAATATTTGAGGCACGATCCAAGGAGCAGCTACGAATGACGAGACTTCATCGACGACTCCATCTTCAGAATCGCCCTTGTCCTTCTTCGGCTTGCCGAAACCCAGCAACGTTCGCTTCTCTTCAGTTTCTGTCGCGGGTACTTTTTCATTCGAACATAGCTTTCCCCAAGATATTCTGACGTCTACAGAAACACGAGGGGAAAATCAGTGAACAACCGTTTAGATATAGGTACATTACTATCTTATCAGTGGAAAAATTCCTGCGTTATCTTTTTCCACGACACATTTTCAACAACTACAACCTTTCCTATCAGTTACACACTGACTCAGAGAGAGAAAATGGATTCGCAGCCTTTAAGCAGTTGAATCATACGACAGTCAGAAAACCTACGCGACAAATTTATCGACGGGGTAAGTATTGGATTACGGCAAAATTTACCACGAACATATCATCGAAGAGGGATAACCCTAGTTACACGGAGTCTCTTTTTTCTAGCATCAACGTCGAGCCTAACTTTCTGGTGATTTCGACGCCGTTCGAAGTCCACACCAACCCAAAATACCCGACGTAACATAATACAAACTACAGTAGTTCAAACAAACCTAACATAACAGGAAAAATGAATGTGAACGAACAATTGGGAGATGAAAAGGCGAGGATACGAGGATTCCTGATGTTACACTCAGATAAGTAAAATTTCAAGGTAGGGTTGATGTAAATTTTAGCAAAAATACGTAAAATGAACCGAAAAAAGAAAATTCGCTCACTTTCTAGAGCTGGCTGGAAACAATTCGCAAGCTGTTGCTGTACTTTGGTTTCCAAACGCTCATCAAGCGAACAGAATGCACTTGTTCCGAGCCCGTGTCTGGCAATTCCTCGCACGAGTCCATGGGACACATCACTCCCAATGCCAAGGGAAAACGTCCGCGACTTCTTGTTATTTTTTTGTGCCAACTTCAGCACAGCTTCAACATTCGACACCTGCGATGAGTCACACCAACTCAGTAAAAAGCTTTTCCATTCGGAGACGAGGTGTTGCTCCAAGATAAGAAAAAAGTCAAGAAGATACAGTTGAACCTATTCAATTCTAATTCCACGAAACCAGAAAAAAATTTGATAGGAGAGTTTCAAGTCGAGGAAACTATCATTTTTGCCTTGAAAAATTTTTTTAAGGAAGCTAAAATTAGTGACTTTTCAAATCAGATTTGTTCGCTGGACCCCAGGCATTTAACTTAAAAGTTTTCGAGTTGAGAAAACTACCATTTTCGCTTAATAAGGAATAATTAGAGGAAGTTGACATTAGCGATCTTTTTAGCCCAGAACTACTCCGTAGCAGAGTTGACGGGATGCTGAACTTGCAGGCAAGGGCACACTTGCTCAAATAATCTTTCCCTTCCTTTCAAACAGCATCAAGTTATATTTTTATCGCTTTCTCTTTCCTGAGTCACAAAAATCATAGTCCAAAGGCGTTCAGTAAATTTGAGTTATAGAGGTTTCACAAGGAAAGACGGGGAGTCGGGGTTTTTTTTACTGTACATTGTTCCGAAGGGAAGTCGGACAGGGACTTTGACATAGCGAGGTAGTTGACGTAGGGAAATTCTAGTTATCAGGGATAAGGTAACGTGTTCAAGTTTCTCGACGAAATACAGAATTGGAAAAAAAACTCCAAACCTCGATCAGGTTTTAAGCACAACGCCTTCCAAATTAAACAGAACTTCACAACAAGCTGAAGAATAGACAGACCTCTCCATCGGTCAACACGATGACTTGACGTTTATATCCATCCTTCACGGCCTGTTCGTAGACGAACTGAAGGGGCTGAAGAATTTCCGTACCGCCCATATTGGCATGAAGTGTGTCCGCATAATGCATCGCAGCTTGGAGCGATTCCCCGTCGTACTTCGCACTACCCTCCGTGAACAAAGCAGCATACGCTGACCCGAAGCCAACAATGTTGAAGTAACAATCCGTCGGCAAAGATTTCAAAAACAACTGGAAAATGGAAAAATAAATTTACGCAATCATTTCTTCATGCCTCAGAAGGTAAACACGACACAGAATAAGAAAAGGGTTCCGCAATCGAACTATTGGAACTGTTCCAGAAGATGACCAACCTAACTTGCACTCGTAAGTGAACTACACACTCTAGACAAGTGTTACCCAACCCGTGGTTCGCGGACAGGCGCAGGTCGGCGAAAGTTTTTTGCCTTTCCGCAGGAAAATTTCATCGACATAACGAATTTATGAAAAGTTACTATGAAGTCTGTTATGGTGATCCAAAATTTTGGAAAGCAGTTGAAATCTTCAAATGAAAAAAAGTTAACTTTTCTCTTGATAGCACTAGAGGCGTATTTTCACATGCTGAAATATTTCATGCTAAATTTTCAATCCGGGAAACTTTTCTTGAACTCCAGCTTCATATTTTTATAAGACAATCCCCTATACACCTGCTTCATTGGTTTTTAGAAAAAAACTCATTTTGCAAAAATTAGGTTGAGAACTGTATGGCAGGTATTTAAAACAATACTGCTGGTCATCAAAAATTGTATGGAACGTTGCCGGTCCGCTGAAAATTTTCTGGAAGTATGCCGGTCCGCGACAGATTTCATCAAAATTTGCCGGTCGACAAGCCCAAAATGGTTGGGGAAAACTGCTCCAGACAAAAATTTCTATGAAATCGTAAAATACGCGAAGTAGTTCAGGGAAGTTTTCACCGCAGAAGAGTCTCTTGTACAGTGAAATCTTTGTTAGAACAAATTTCCACGATAATAAATAATATGTTTCGCACGTCCTGGAAGAAAGTCTATGGGGGACACACTAAAATAATCTTGCAACAAATTAATCGGTACAACAAGCTTTTCCTGAAATCCCCGTAAGTTTGCTGTAACGGGATTTTACTGCATACATAAATTGTAGCGTTCAGAGATTAAAAAAAAAAGATGATTCGAGTAATCTACAGGGGGGACAGAGTGAGGAGATTTTTGGAAAGCCAATGAGACACATTTCATTAGTGGGACCCCGAGATACGGACACTCCAAAATAGAGACAACTTGCCTCAGCGACACTTGAAACTCTATTAATTTGTCCCAACATTCGAACGACTTCTCAGATACCGTACCAACACTGACAACATACTTAGAAAAAAGGAAATCTCTTGAACAGATTCAGCCATTTATATTCACAAAAAATCTCAAATTTACTATACATTAATCAAAAAACAGACTTAAGCTAGTACTTCTCTTCATGGTTTTTCCATCAGCTGAGCACAGTTTAGATACACATGCGCTTTTTTTTTTTGCTTTTTGGGCTCTTTTTCATGCCGAAAAGGCAGATTGAGTGGTTTTCTTCTGCACAGTTATATTCTGTATCCCCGACGTAGAGAAAACATGTTTTACTTTATTTTGGGGGCTTCTTCCAACTTTTTGATAGAACAGGAGAACCAATCTATTTCCATTGAAGCCGACAGGAAAATGTGATTTGACATGCGGACATTCCAACCACATAGGGACAAGGTCCATGCACCAATTACACGGGCATCTTGAGGCCCCATTCTAATATGATATTGACCATTGATAATCCAACACATGCGTACAGATTCTAAAAAGTCGCATTACCTGCAAAAATTACAAACGAGGTGATGATGACCGAATATTTATGAATAATGAATGAATAATGACTGAATATTAATGAAAATGTCGCGACACACATTCTTCCGAATTCGATTACATCCATACTACATAAGTTCAGAACCATCGAATTCCTCGCGGATGAAGCATGAACAGAGATTATAATTCCGTCAGGTAGTACTACGTGTACAGTACTTGGCGCTAACTGAAGCCTCGAACGAGAAAATAGATGGGAGGAACAAACCTTCAGAGCGTTTTTTGCCATTTCAACCTTTTCGCCGAGCATGGAACCAGAACGGTCAATAATGAACACGATTTCCGCTTTTTCGTCCTTCAGTTTGAACGACGGCACAAGTGTTACCATGGCAGCTACGCTGTTGTTCGCATCATCGACCTGTGTGCATATAGAGGCCGAAAAACAAACAATGGACTGATTTCCCGGAAAACATCCCAGTGTCGCGGATATAATACTATATACACACCTCGACGAAGACACGCGGTTGATGCGGTTCAGCAACTTTGACTAGAACAATCAAGTCCCTGTCCATGTCAGTCGTCAGTCCTGAAAGTTCCAAAGTAGCTGAATGGGATCCAGCGACGCCCTTGGTGACGTCGAGTTTATGCGTCGGGGAAACGATTTCCACGATTTCCGTTCTGGCCAACACCTTCCCTCGGATTAGCAGTTGACACGGGGAATACCTTAAAAAATTATTTAAAAGTAGGGCTTCATCTCAAAAGGGAAGTGCAATGGTCAGTTCAGAATTTCGTAAGCATAACTGTACCTTGAAATAAATTGCCTTCTGGATTGAAAAAAAAAAAGAACGTAAGTGCCTTTCGGTGTCCTATCTACATTATTTCAAAAATAAATTGAGCTTAACCATTCCGAAAGATGATCTTTGTCGGAAAATTCCGACGACCAACCAAGCCTAGTCAGACTCATTCGGAGCACGGTACGATTAATACCAAATCTGAAAGCCGGATAATTGTTGATTAACATTCCAAGGATTCTCTCCAATTTCGGTCTTGATTTGTACCTCACCAGTCGGCATGTTTGTACGAACTTAAAGCTCATTATCACCGACAAGAAATTCTTCACATATAAATGTTCAGTCAGCAGAATCCAGATTTAAAACAGGTGGTATTGTTCACAGTTCATCTGTTCAAAATTCTCCGTCGTTTGAGCAACTTGAACGAACGAACTCATGCGATTGTAAATTTCAGGCCCCCGCACCAAACACCCAGGTGAATAAAAATATGGACCATGTCACAGAAGGGATTGGACTATGTCCCTACCATAAATTATAGGGAGACACGTTCGGGATTATCTATACCGAGGTTGAAAGAACAAACGATCTCTTACTTGGTGAATTCAATGGCTCCGATCTCCAATTCATCCGCCTTATCGGAGCTGCTTCTAGGAACGTACCTCGGGGCAATCGTGGTGGGGAGAATAAATCGCTGATTCTCACCATCCACCAATAATTCAGCCAAGTAGCTTATTGTAACAATTGCCTTGACGCCAGGACCCAAGTTGCCGATTTTCGCCTGAAACAGGAATATTCCACACAAAATTTTTTTTAATTTGGACGAAGATGAGAGATGTATAACTGTTCGAGCGGAAATCCTGGTATGTACCGTATTTACGTAAACATGCGAAGCACGTCTACTTTTTGAATCTTGAAACGAGAAAAAAACTCCCTCCATCATATTGAAAACTTAACTCCCCCCAACATACTGTATTGAGAACTTAAATTAGATTGTATTCCTTCATTTTCTGCTGGTAATCAGTAATTTCTTATTACTTCGCCAAAAGTTCAATAATTTCCAAAAGATATTCGGATTGTGCAAACTCTCCTGATTTTGAACAGGCTATGTTGTCACGCACAGATTTTAATAGATTTTGAGTTGGAAGCGAACATACAATTCGAGGTACGAAAGCGATATAAAATTCGAGGTCATAGCTTTCAAGCTTCAGGCATGAACAAAAGTCTTCTGTAAATAATAAATGTTAGATCACTCACACATGCTAAGACAAAATTACATATTACGAACTGAATCAACCGAACAAGTACAGCTCAGTAAAATATTTGCATGCGTCAACACACACCACCTTTGGATAAAAGCTAAAATTTTAATACATACAATATATCTTTAGCATAAGTTGTATAACTACTGGGGATACATCAACGACCACTGTACAGTACTTCACTGAAGGATTTAAGAACATCACACCTTGAAAATGTCCGGCTTTTTCTTTTCCAGCAATGCTGCTGTGAATCCTTGTTGAATCGCATGCTGATAATCCGCATTTGCTTGTTCACGTTCTTTCACTTGGCCATGTACTTTTCGACCGTCAATATCTGCTTCGAACTCGAATACTGCCGCTTTGTCATCAAGGGGGAATAGGTATTCCGCTTCAATAGGACTACGAATAATCAAAACGATGTCCTGGTCAGCAAGTGTACAGTACTACATTTAACCGATACGTCATCGCAGTACTGTAAAACAGAATGAATTTCATCTGCCATCCGAAAAATGCCAACTACTGATAGCACATTGAATGAGCCAGGAAGTCCAGGAAACGATTGAAGTATTCGAAGAGGATATACAAGAGCTTTGAACATATTTATAGAACATAGATGGGTTACTGTTACAGCACTTTTGTACGGATTCTTGAAGTAACTCACACTGCCTCGGCGTTACAATACACCTGAGTGACTCGAACTTCTGCGTAGCAGTCTAAAATTGTGAAGTCGACTTTGGTTGATTTCAGCGGCACTGGCTTCACGATCTCAGTCTCGTCTTTCTTCACGATCACCACGAGTCCACACGGACAATTCGGATAGCGCGGAAATTTATTCGCGAACATGGCACTTTTTCTCACAGTAAACTCAGGTCAAACAATCGCGAATCTATCGCATCCCCAAAATATTCCAAATGGAAAAAAGTTGAATGATCAATCTCAGATACTAATTAACCGAAAGAGTTGTATGACTGAAATTTCCCTCCAGAAAAGATCATGAATTGGTTTGCGAACAGCGAAAGGTGCGATATTAAGCTGCCATTTAACTGAGAGCCCTCAGTTAGGTCGCGGTGTAAACTGACTCAAAACTCCGATTTTCATTTCGGAGGTATTACCAAGCAAATATTAAGATCTGAGCACTACCATCAAGCAGAAACATGAAAAGCAACGCGGTAACACGTCATGATCCGATGAAACCATCGTCGAAAAAATTTGAAAGGTCGGCGACGAAGACCATTGCCACAAACAGAAAGATTCGGTTCGACAGCAGAATCTTACTCGAAATCACCGACTTTTACGATCATTAGCTTCCGATGAATCACCGGGCATACTTCGGAGAATATCACAACGTAAGTTCCGCAACCGCGGGTACGCTCGAATCCACCTCGCTCACCCGGCTCATTCCTGCGACTGAACAACGGCACGACATGGACCAGCCTATACTACAGCCAACATCTGAATCAACGCCCTCTCCAGTAGGAACTGGAATAACATGAGTAACCCATCCGAGGCTCTCCTGTGTTCCAATTTCCAAACCCTTATCATCTGTCCTGCATAGTTGTCTTGCAGCATACATAACTCCTCTGTTTGACTATTGAATCAGCAAATCTTCCCTGAATTATGAGTAAATATGGGATACAGTAGTGTATGGGTTATAAATATGTTAATTCTACAGTAGTACAGTATATATAGGTAAGAGCTAATATCTGAAATTATCGCAAATGATGAGCGGCATTAAAAGGTGCGATAAATGGATGTCATTGCTGGGATTTTCATCCCATACAACAGATTTCCGATCGGTTTTGTATGGAAGGGGAAAACAAGTTCTTCCAAAAAATGTCTTCTGTGGTGGTGCTAAAACCTGGATTGGATGAGGCCTGCGGAACATGTACAGTACTATGCTTTAATTCAGGATCTGGGCTGATGATTTACACAGGGAAAATTACACTTCATAAATTTCTTATTTTACAGAAATGATCCAGATAATAGGAAATCTGGTTGATGATGGATTTCTGCTGTATTCACTACTTCATTATGAATTAGGATTAAATACATACCGTACTGCTCATCATTTTCTTTAGCCTTTTATAAAAATAAAACTCTTCATCAATAAGCCATTCTGACCAGTTGCATACCCCCAGTTTGTTTCAATTCAGGTTTGAAACACAGGAGTACACGTTTAGGAACACCCACAACTTTTTCAAGTTTAAATTCAAATATCGCACATCCAGTTATCTCGTACGTAAAACCAGCTCTGAGTGAAAGGACAATAGACATAATGGTTTCCCGGAAAATCAGAAAGGAATGTTTTGAGGTGCACACCACACACTAGTGAACAAGATACAAATACTCATCCATACATGATATATCTAACTTTCCAGCGCCGGCATATGTGACATGATACAAAGTCACTTCACCCACATTGTCTTCCCATCTGACGTGCAACAAAGGTTATTGCCATGCATGAGAGACTTCAGCTTCAAGGAACTCTGCTGAAGAGCTCCATCGGAACATCAGACATGACAATAAGCACACATTAACACAGCATCGAAGAAATTTATCTGCAGTGCAACCATTGGAGAAAATTGTAACCAATATTATTAGTATGTACTACAACTCTCACACCCGCTTTTGAATGACACTTTCCCTCGCCGTGGATTTCCAGATCAATGCATGAACTCCTCAAGCATCCGACAAATCTCAGCTAATCTGGAAGAGTAACACATGGTCGCAAGGCATGGTGGAGACATTTCGTGGTCTCACAAATCATTAGCTTGTAATCAACGATTTATTTGCTACGATAGCAGATTCCAATGGATTATGAAGGTTGTGAAACCGACGCATTGTGTCCCTTTCCCGTCTAGGGGAACAAATCCGCCACATTTTCCCGAAAATTAGTCCATCTTCTATATCCTCGGTCAATTTTAAATAATGCCCATGAAAACTTTTCGACAATTGAGCTGAAAGGAACACTTATAAGATACATCAGTTCAACGGGCTTCCGGATCCAGCTCGTTCCACCCCGAGCAATTTTAGCCGCAGTAAAGTATTTGCATGAATTACACCTTTCGGGTACATGTTCTCGGAGGATTTACAGTTCCCCTGCCCCTTAAAGCAGCACTCTTCAGTTCTTCATGACGCATGAAGCTCTTGCTGCAAATACATATTTCAGATTTTCAGTTCACTTTCAAAGGCATAAAATATCGAGAAACTTGAAAGTTCACGCGATACGTTCGCACGCCGGAAAAGTTTCCAGCTCCATGTTATCATACACGTGGAATTTTAAGTGGTAAGGTTTAGTGATTTCAGACAGAAAAGGCTACGGAGATTGAACGACGGTATGAGGGATTGGCACATTCCCCGCATGAAAGGCAACGCAAACCGATTATGGATAGCAGTTTTGCCTTTCGAAGGCGCGTCCATCTGCTAGAAATCCTATCATACGCCCTCCGGATCATTTTTAAAAATAGACTTGTCATTCGAATACCAGAATACCCTATTGCTTTTTAGGCGATTCTTGACACTGTCCGCCAGTTCAGATTCCATGAATCAGCCAATTTCCCAGAATTGCGATAATAAACAATTCGAAGACACGTTTTGACAAAAACTTATAGGAATTTCAGTACCATGACACATTCAAACATCAGCGCAGAGAAATCGAAATTGCAGGGAGAGAAGTCCATTGAGTCAAGAAGATTTTGAAATGGAAATCAGAAACATTTCGAAGATTGCAATAACCGCTCATTCAGGTAAAGAAACAATTGCGCAGGAACCGAATTTCCAACGGCACCACAGAAATTGATTCCAAGATCATTTCAAACACCGGTCGAAGTAGGCGCTGCCAACATACGCGCCTTTCATGGTCTTTTGCACCGTGTGCTCGAACGCCCTTCGGTTGTTCTGCAACATCTCTGCAGCCTCTTTGTTCAGAGGATCACCGGGGTTTGGTTCCTAAACGAAGAAAAGCTGTTGAACGACTGGCTCGTTCGGGCGACAAGTTATTCCTGAAATCACTCACAAGGAAGAGGAACTGCAGTCCATACACAATAGAATTGATGGTAAGCACTGGTTTCCAGTCTTCGCGCAAAATGTTGAGGCACACATTGCCATCGGTGTCTATGTTGGGGTGGAACACGGATGTCTCACACTTCACCTTCGGGGGTTCGTGTGGATAATTGGGCCCAACTTCGAAACTGAATACGAATTTTCCACCTCTGTAGAAACCCTGAAAACCAGAAGTGCAACGCGAATTGTTCATCAACCCTACCGTTGAACGTCGGAGACACTCGGCAGCTGCTAATAATTTTTCATCCTGATCAAAACCATTTCAAGAAATGTACAGATAAAGATGACTTTCAAACTTAGGTCTCCTTCGAACAGTTCATGAACATTCCGCGCAGTTCCATGACACGAAAAATTCAATTGAAAGAATACATCGAAGCAAAAACCTGACTTTTAAACCAAGCGCTTTCCAGAACAATATCCATCACATACTGCGACTGTAACCAACGAATAGCTTCGTATAGGAGATTTCTATATAACATAAGCACACCATTACCTGAGATAATTCGATCGTATCGGACTCACCTCGTCTGGGCAAATGACGAGTTTGAAGTTGAGCAAATCATCCGCATTCGGGAACTCAACCCCGCAAGTTTTCGGCAGCGTCAACTCATTTATATCTGAAGATTATCGAGGAATAAAATCAAGTCATCCGGATAAAATTAAATCTACCCTTCGTGATGCGCAGTTGAGCCGCCGAGGTCTGCTTCTGCGATCCAGAACGGGCTTCTCCGTCCTTCTTCTGCTGCTTCAGCGAAAAAAGCTTGATCATGTTTAAGATTCAGGCTCCTTCCTCAGTAAAAGATCTATTACACGAGAAGACTGAAAATCAGCCTAGGTTCCTTCGACCGAGTTGAGGAAATTTACGGACTCACGTGTATGAGATGTTGATCGAACCAATACGCCAATTGAAGAGTTACTATAAGAAATTCGCCATTTCCTCCACAGACGACTATTATTTCGTGAACCTATAAAGACGCTGAAATTAAGAATCACATTCAACGTCGGCGCACGTTCAATGTATCTTTCTTCGTGGTTCATAAATTCGAGTTCATGGAATGGACACAGCTCTGCTTTCCTTTCACGATTGTCAGGTTATCCACGGAACTTCGTGAGAACCATTGGGCGTTGGTTTGTTTTGAGATTGCCCACGGTTGATCAGTAGCGCACATACAGCAATGGTCACTCCAGAAACGTCGGCCTGTGTGTTTCATTAATCGTGGTATAGGTGTCAGTGTGACTGACTCGCGAACAATCTGGTATTTCACTGAAACCTGGAAATTTCTGGCGTTGTGCACCCTGTGCATGCTGGTTAAGCCACCTTGAGGAAACTACAGTATAAAATACAATTACCCAAGTGCAAGATGTTTCTGATTGCTTTGAGTGCAATATTAGGCCTCCCCTCCGGGTAAAAATATCCAGCAAGAAAATGTAGTAAAACCATCTCCATTCATGCAGTTTACGCAGCTTTGTTTCATGACCGGGAAACGTATTTGAAAGTGAAATCATGTATTTGTTGCCCACAACAAATTTTTTTTCGGAAGACATCTTCAGGACAATGTGAAGTGTCATTCCGAAGGAAGCGTTTCATAATTAAAAAAAAAAATCTGTGGAGGACGGGTTCTTTCAGCAGTTTGAGATTCAGTTGCTTCGCGCTGCGACGCTCTGCCATTGGAGTTCCCTCTAGTGGGGAAAAGATGAAATGCGAGACAGAAGGGGTCCCGTCTCCGCGGGAAGCGGATGCGGGGGCAGGCCTGTTGTGGGACGCGAAACGGTTGTTCAGATCTGAATGTGCGCAACCTGCCGTGGTGTTCTCTGGAAGTTCGTTCACCTCTATGATCTTGCATTCCTGCGAGGCGTTCATGTTGCTCTTTCGCCGTAGTGTACGTGAATATCCGGCGTGTTGCATACTTCACACTCAACGTTGCGCTTTCCCAATACAGTACTGTAGTTTCAGTGGTTTGAAGTTTTCTGTTCTTACGAGTACCAAAATATTGTAGCCATACCCGACTCTGGCCGTTTTGTTTTTTGGGAGTGCTGATTTTTAATGCTCGGCTTTTACTGAGTAACCCCGACGATAAGGTCAGTTCAACGCGGTTTTCTCCCTCCTTGACTGTTCTTGGGCCTCGCACTTCGGTCATGTCCATGGTATATGATTCAGCGTATCGCAGTGATCCGAGCATTGTTTGGACAGGGACGGTGGAAGATATCCGGGATCGCCGTAGTAGCAGAATTTCCGATTCCCTTCTGTGCTCATCCGCTCCATGTGTGCTCGAAGCTTCTTCGATGCGTTTTATGATCTTCAGCGAAGAAGACTGGAAGTAATTCTAAATTAGTAGTTTTGCTTCTCTTCATAAGCTAGTTCTCGAATATAATTACAGTGCAGTGCTTGTTTGAATGCGGAAGACATTCCACCACCAGCCGTGCGTTTTGTATGCTTCTTCTACAGTATTTCGAAAAGAATGCGATTTTTTGTGTGATGTGTAATTCTTCTTGGGCTAAGCGTGCATTGGAGGTTCCACAGGCGGCGGGAATCATGCTTGTTCATCTTGCAAGTAGTACATATCGTGTTTTATTGAGTGTACATTTATTATTCCTTCAAAATGTTGCGTGTTGAAATCAAGTATACGGTACTTCGCGCTACGACTTGAGACAACATGGAACCGGCCCCTTCGAATGTGTGTATGAAGACTTTTATTCATGATGCAGAATGCAGAATTATTGCATCCGTGAATTTTTTCGGATGGAAATTGGCGTCTCATTCAGGACATGTAATAAGCGCAAGTACCTGAATTAGTACTGGTTCGTGCGTATTCAATTTAGATGTGAGAAAATATGCCGGCAAAAACCACAAGAGAAAATTTGTGTGCCTTTTGCGTTCTTCTCATAAAATGGGGCAAATATCCTGGCGATCCATATAATTCTACGAATTGGCGCATATAATTCTACGAATTTGGGCTGGTCTTCAAGTTTATTTTGAAAGGTATTCGTATTTATTTTGCTGAAACCTAACCCGCGAGTTGTAAGCAAGAATCTTCGCCATTCAGGCTTCCCATACCTCGATTTATTTTAAATAGGTTGTATACCGTCTGGCAGGGTAGTGCTCAGCAATTGCGTATACTGTATAGTTGCATAATTTGTGTGCTTCACGCTGAAATCCTCGGTTCCTCATGTGGGTGTGCATCATTCTTTGCTCAATTTCTTGTTAATAAACTCCAGATTTTTCCTTCCTCATTCAGGCTGTGATATGATTGTAACTTGTGATTTGGGCTATGGGGAATTTCAGCTCTCAGGAGTCTGCCCCGTGCTTAGGCTTCAGGGCTGCAGGTTCCCTGCAGTCCTTCAAAGTTAGGAAAGTATTGAAAGTGAATCCCCCACTCACGATAACTAAAAATGCTCAAGATAAGATCAAACCAAAGATTGGACTCTCTCAGAAGACAGGAATTTCTTCGGTTGATGTGAGTCTTTAACCGACGACGTCAAATACCTTACTTTTATCAAGACGTGATGCTATTCTCTCCTTAATTTCATAGGAGGTGTCCGTTTCAACTCTCTCATCAGTCAGCAATGTTAGTTCCGGTATCGGAAGTCTCCTCAGACTTCAGCGCTTTAATCCTTCCACCACCAGAGCCAGCTTTAATGTGTCCAGAAGACCATTGGAGAGGGTACAGGTCACAGAAACAGGTTCCCTGAGGATCAGAGGTGATTACTGGCCAGTGACCCTGCAAGAAGCTATGTTTCTTCCGCAGTTTCCTGTCAGATCACCTGTCAATAAGGAAAGCTTTGATGTAAGTACAGTAATTCCGGAAATTTTCGAAAGCGGACGCAACAATTACGGATCTTCCAGGTGATCAGACCGCTTGGGGAAGGGTCTTTTGGCAAAGTTTTCTTGGTGAAGAGGAAAGAGGATGGACACGAATTTGCCATGAAGGTCATGTCAAAGAACCAGGTCAGATCTAGCTTAATGATTTCTTTGGGGCAAATTAATTCATCGCTGATTTACAGGTGATTCAAAGGGGAATTCTCAAGCAATGTAAAGAAGAAATGACTATTCAAACCATGTGTGGTCACCACCCTTTCCTTGTGGGCTGCAAATTCCATTGGCAAAGTCAAAAGCGGCTCTATTTAGGTAATTCGATCACCATAGTTCTCGTTACCGATTACTGTCTTATACGTGGTTTCGTTGTACTCAGTGACCGAATATGTGTCGCAGGGAGATATGATGGCTCTTTGGAAGTCTATCGCTCCATTTTCTGAGGACCTGGTGAAGATTTATGCAGCACAAATCATCATGGCTTTGGGTGAGGGTAGTATTAGTTTTTCCTGACCCTTTACCTCAATGTCTTACACCTCTCGCGGAAAAAAAAATTATTTTGACCATCATCTGATGAATGATTGGTCTAGTACTCAGGGTAATTCGGGAATTGTAAGTTTAACCTCTGTTACTGGAACTCCTCAATTCGAATTTTTTTAAAGTTCCTGTTTGTATTCCCTTTGGAACAATACATTAAAAACCTCTTTAACTCAAAGGTTTTCCTTCTCAAACCTCAAAAATTAAAATTTTCTGGAGGCTTTTTGGATTTTATTTTATTGACACAGGAAAGATGAACGTAATAAAAATCCAACTTGATGTGTTTTGAAATGGAATGAACCACTAATTTGGCAAATGAACCCTGGCCTCCAAGTTCAGCATCCTTTCAACTCATTTAAGAAATAATTAAGACTTAAAATGATTGAAATTTTTGAATTTTCTTTCTCCCCCCCCCATTGTAAATGCTTGTTTTCTTCACTGGAAAACTCCCTAACTCGAATTTTTGCGGGTCCCTTGAAGTACGGCTGTAATACTCCCGAGCTGGTTTCTGTCAGGTATTCTAGATATCTGTTTTCGGCAGATTTTTTGCATTGTGCTGGGATCATATACCGGGATTTGAAGCTGGAAAATGTGATGCTTGACCAAGAAATGTGCATAAAGATCACAGATTTTGGACTGGCGAAATGGTTACCGCATGGTAAAAGAACTGCTACCATATGCGGCACAATGCAGTACATGGGTTAGTATACAATATGTGGTCGAATTGGCTAAATTTGATTGATTGCGGTTTTGTTTCAGCTCCTGAAATACTGCAAATGAGGTCTTACAACCATTGTGCGGATTGGTGGTCGCTGGGGATTCTGCTGTTCGCTTTGTTTGCTGGCGAGGTATGAATTATTGGGTTGTTTTCCTAATTATACGTACTCGTGTGAACATTCTACCTTTCCGAAAGAATCCTCGCAAAATTAGACCCGGCGTGCCTTCTGCCTGTCCTGTCTTAGGCTTTAATATCAACCTGGAAGAAATTTCAGAGATTTTAATTTTGCATGAAGGAAAAAAAAATGTACCGAAAATCTGCAAGGCATGTGGTTCGTCGAACCCAGCAGCAGTGTACAGTACTTCATTTTTTGTGTGTAATCCCTTCATTCATCAAATGCAATTCAAAATCACTTTTGCTCCTACGTGCTAACTTTTCAACGTGACGAACACTTTATTTTAACGAATCTACTGCAGTACAGTATTTTCGGTATTTACCTGTCAGTATAGGGTAACTTCTTACTTTTTATGTAGTCCATATTTTAATTGGGTTCCACAGAAGAATATCTCGTTATGCCGCGCGCACACGAAGAATTGCTGCGTCCGTTTCTGTTGAAGTCTGAATTACCGCTCTTACAGGATTCATTCAGCCGATCAGCCCGTTAGAGTTCACGTTTTATAGAGCAACGAATGTCTGATGAATGTGAATTAGCGTCGTCAACCGTGGTTTGTCATAGCAAGTCTCTGGTGTTCATATTATTTTCACTGAACATAACCTAGATTTTCTATTCTGAGGTGCACGAATTGATTCCGCACTCGGAAGATTACATCCCAGATTTTTAAATTACTGTATTGTGAATTTAACCTTTTCGAAGCGTACCACGAGAATGTGGAGCTAACTTCTTTTTTTTTCAGCAGTCGTTCTGCAATAATTTGTTTGTGAAACGAGCTGTCGGATTAACGAGGCTGTTAATTTCTTGTGGACCATCAGAAAAGCTTTTTATTCAAGATCCACGTTTAGAAAACGCGAATGTACATTTTAGCAGCGTTTGAGTTGTTCCGTGAGGGACTTGATGGAATTTTTTTTTATCGATTATCTGAGGGATGAGAAACGACACTGACGGCTCAGATAGAGAATTGTACCGCGTTTGTGGAAGTTTTATGGAAGTTACCTATGGTTGCATTTATTTTTGAGGAGTGTTGAGGGCAGAGACGACGCATTTTTCTTGGTACAGTAGGCGTAGGAAGTTGAACTTGCGAATGCCCCGCGCCCCTCCCATTCTGTAAACACCGAGGAACCTGAGCACTTTTTGTCATTTTCGTCGTTTCCGTATGAGGAAGCTGAAGACTTGGTAGGATTTTGCGTCCTTTTTTGGAAAGAGATGTTTACTAAAATCCCAACTTCCGCCAAGAGTCCCGAGAAGAATACACATCCTGGAAATACTGTACTGTTCATCACCCCATGTTGCAGAGAAATTATGATCACTTGCGAAGTTGCGAATGCTCCGAAAGCTTATTTGAATAACTTGAAACTTTACCGAAATTCGACCTGACATTTCTGACGTTAAACAGAAGTACAATAGAATTCATCAGACGTTTTTTCAATGTTTATAATCTCTGTGATGCATAACTATTCGGTGTTGGGATTTAATTCGTTTGTTTTTGGCAAAAATAAATGATAATACTGTACTTACTTGGTTTGATTGATGGAAAATTTTTCCTGAAGACTGATAGTTAATACTTAAATGCTTGAAGATACAGTGTTCTGATTTAAAAAAAAGTTTCTACTTGTTGACGAAAAAATTTTCATCTGCATTTTGCGCGCGAACGGCAACTGCAAAGAGTTACCGTGCCAAAAAGTAATAACAGTATTCATTCCGAACTGAGGAAAGGAATCAGATGCATTGCTGAGAAAATGATCGAAATAGGCCTTGAAAAAATCATCACTCCAGGTGTTTTTTTTCGACGTGCAAAAAAAAAGCAGTTGGTTGCTGTGCGACATTAAATTGTGTGGAATTCCACCTTATTCAAATTCTCAGTTTCCTCTTGGAGCTCCTGATACCCACGAAGAAATGCTGCTTGCTGTGATTTCCTTCGACTTTTCACTCCCGAAAGATGTGATAGCTTCGCCTGCTGCGCGCGCCTTTCTCAGATCTTTGCTCTGCATCGATCCACAGAAAAGACCGAAGTCGAGATACTTTATTCAGAGGGACGCCTTTTTCCACGGAACTAATTTCGACGCTATCTTCAATCGCAAGGTTTGTCGCTCGTTTCGTCGAAACCTTATTCTGAGTTCATAACAAGCTTGTGTCCGTGTTTTTCAGTTGAAGCCGGATGACCTCGTGAAGAAGCTGAAAATGGTTGTGAAGGATTGAACACTTCTAGAACCTTGGGTTGTTTTAAGAATTATTTTTAAACAGCCTGTTAGACTCATGGGACCTGACAACAAACTGCTGTTCATTCCACCAACTCCTATATTCTTGCGCCTCAGAACATGTCAGCCCAATCTACAGTGGGATGAGTCTTCCATCTGTGATCCTAAGGTATTTTTACCTGTAGTGCGGTGTGTGCAGGCTCCCCATATTTCTCTTGTGTTTTCTCTTTTCTTTTCCCTTCCAGAAAAGGGTTCATTCCAAAACTTTGCATCGTCATGAGTTTCAAGGCCAGCAATCAAGGGCGCAGCTGTCCTCTTGTGTGTGTATGTTTCTTTTTGTGCGTCAGCCTGTGAGTTGAGTAACCTGCTGGCTGACCACTGCGGCCCCCTTTAAACTCCAATGCAACATTATACTAGCCAGCATTTGTGCCCGAGCTTTTGTGACAGACTGTTGTGTATGCACTGAAATACATCATCACCATTGCCTCTCTATGTGAGATCCTGGCGTATACTTTTATTTGGACTATCTAAAAAACCTTTGGCCCGCAAAGTACGCGGAAGACCATTTTAAAGACCAGGATAGAATTGTTGTTCAAGAATCAAGGTTGGTAATAAACTTACTTGTTAGACGTAACAATAAGTATTTATTTAAGACTCACCGAATCTTTTTATTTCTCCAGAAATAGGATAACAGAAATTGGCACAGTCATCCGTCTTCTTTTTGTGGGGGGTGAGTGTTTCACAAGTAAAAACAACTAATCTGCATGGACTAGATTGTGTTTCTGCAAATTTGTGACTGCTGTTACTCCTCTGCGGTGAATTTAAGTGCCTTGAATTTCCTTGCATGACCAAGGAAAGTAGAGCAATACAATTAGTGAGTTTACGTGAATTGCGACTAAGAACAGTATTCCAAATTCCTACGAGACCTTGTGAAGAGTTTGATAATGTAGCTTATCTAGGGAGGTGGTGATAGTGTCAGTGACTCAGTCGGTTGAGTAAGTGATCAGTGACGATGCTCCCTCCGCCTGTTGTGACTGACACCCCCACAACCCACAGAAATAGGCTGCTGCGCAAAACCCCCAAAGACCAAGTAGCATACTTGCATGAATTGGTCCTCCTTCTGGAAGTAGAATGCAATGCACTGTATTTGGCAAACAAGGTGCAACCTTGCCTGCCGGAGGCAATGCTGGTCGATAATAGGCGCAGTATTGAGCTGTTTGACAAACAAATACAGGACTGGAATACGATTGTATTCCAGGCCTGCTCTTGTGCCTAACCTAGCTGCTAGGGACGAGATCACTCTAGCAATCAAGACAGCCCAATTAACTTTGTTTGCTACCCATCTCAAAGATGAGGTTACTTGTCAGCAGCAAGAATTAGACAAAATGGTGGGGATCAAGAACAAACTGCTAACAAAAGAACTAACTCTTGACCAGCTAGATCAGCCTAGCTCTGACTAAGTAGTGTTCTTTAACATGAAAATGGGCAGCCAAGATGCACTCAAAGGCAATAAGCAGATCACAAATAGTATTGTCAATCAGTTGCCAAATTTCTTTGGTGCAGCCAATGAAAATTGGGCTGACTGGTGGCAAGACATTTGTGTGGCTCTTGTTGGCTGTGACATCACAGACAACAACATGAGAACCATTATTCTGCAGAAGGTCATTGGCAAAGCCAGGGAGTTTCTTTGCTGTGTTGATGGATTGACTGACAAGCACCACCAAGTCTTGGTTAAAGAATTAGAGTTAGCAAACGGGGGTTATTTTATGGGAGAAGGCGCGCTTAAACTTCAAACCATTTATCAAGGTGAGTTAGAATCAGTTTTGGATTTTTCTGTTAGAACCAGGAGAGTGGGCCAGCAAATGCTTGGCAAAGCCCCCAGCAAAATTAAAGTCTTGAGAGTAGAAGGCCAAGAGCCAAAACTCTGTACAAACCTATTCCTTGAAATTGAGTTGATCCGTTACAATGCCCAAAACCAGAGTATCAACCAGCTCATGGTTTCCCAGTTCCTGCAGGGAATGCTACCAAGTCTTTATGATACACTTGGTGCCAATCCCATCACCATTGCTCAAGCCAAATATGTGACTAACATCAAAAAACTGAAAGTTTGCCAAAGAGCAAAAAAAAAATCCAAGTGATGTCTGCAATTGCTTGCAAACAGCAACAATATCCGGGAAACAACAGTGCCAACCCAGCTAGAACATGCTGGTTGTGCAGAAAAGTGGGCCATTTTAGCAGTGAGTACAGTAAGGGCACCGCCTTACATACTGACGCAACATCTAGCGGTGAACTCGCAAACGCGCAACAATGTGCCCACTTGCAAAGCGCTTATCAGGCAAGAGATCTGGGGGAGCATTGGAAGGAGCAGGGGGGGCAAGTGATTATTACGGCAGATTGTTATGAGCTCTTGACTTATGGACATCTCATCATCTTATTTGTGACTTACCTCATCTGTTATTTGTGTGCACTGAGAAGAATTAAATGACGTGTGTTTGAGACGTGGGTCGAGGTCATTCCTCAGGACAAAACCTTATTGGGGGCTCTGAGCCTTCCATAGTTGATTGACCTAACGTCACATGCCAGTGCCTGTGATGCCCAGAACAACAGAGAACTCAAAAGCCGCAGCCGCGGCAGCCCTTGTTGAGCTGGCAACCCTTCCAGAGGACGACAACGAGTTCCTTGACACGGACCTGCCACCGCCAACCAAAGCCCCAACCCACTCCCAAAATTTGGAGATGTTGCTGTCCAGCATCTGGGAGAACCTTCCGCTTTTGACTCTTCAGATGCTTGCAGATGCCTTCCATGTTGGGCATCCGACACCTCCAGATAAGTTCGAGTACGCCGCGCAGCTCAAACATTTTCAAATCCCAGTGACTGCCGTGCAAACTCTTTCGAGGGGCAACGATCGCAGCATGATTCCGAGCAGACTGTACCTGGATGATGACGACAAGCGCACCTTTTTGGCGCTCCTTTTGATGCAGAAGCGGCTGTGGCTCAGTGAACTCCAGACGCCGCAGCTTCCAAAGCAGAGATCCAAGGAGGAATCCCAGGACTTTGTCCTTCGTTTGAGGAATGCGCTGGCCGTCGGGAAGGTTTCCGATGACCATTGAGTCTACTGCCTGCTCAACAACACCCTGACGCAGATTCAGATGACTGCCAACCGCATCTATCAACGTGGCGTCTCCAACTTTGATCAGCTGGTGCAGGCCATTGCCCGGAGACACCCGACGCCTCATCTCAACCAACTCAGGAGGTTTTGGACAATGAAACCCAGCAACGGGGAGAGCTTCTTCAACTTTGGCGAGAGGCTTCGTGACGAATACAAGGCATACCTGCAGATGACGGCCAACAAGATGATCAATGGTGAGGCCCTCATCCAACATGTGCTCAAGGAACAGCTGTTTAACATTGCAGAAGCGGGGCTCAAGGATGAGCTCCGCAGAAAATGGACCCGCAATCGCCTGCTGACGTGGGACAAGATCATCGACATTGCTGAAGCATATTGCCTCAACAATCAGCCAGCATCAACCAGATCCGCGTCTGCCAAAACCAGTTCCAGACCTCGCCACAGGATTTACCTCCAAGACAATGGTGTGACCATCACAAAAGAATGGCACACCACAGCTTGCAGGATTGCCGGTTACGCCTTCATCAAGGAGGGCAATCCAGTTCAACCACCACCAAAGCAGCAGCTCGCCCATCCGCCGGTGCAACTAACGTGGCAGCCTCACATGGTGCAACTTCCGATGACGCAAATGTAACTTGTTTTCATTGTCATCAGCTTGGACATAGACTCCGCGCGTGTCCGCAGCTTTTGGGAAACGCGACGTCATCTCAGTGAATGCGGCACACTGTTGGATGACAACCTTACCCAACGCTCCACCTCTGATTTTGCTCCAGATCTCTCATGCTGGGTGCTTAGTATCCGCGCTCCTAGATACTGGCGCATTGCATTCTTTTGTTTCCAAATCGCTAGTACATCAACTTGCCTTGCTGTCGCGATCTCTATGTACAATGGTTGGGACTGCCCTGGGACTGGACGTGGTGCCAGTATTGAGGATGGTTGAAACCCCATTTTTGTTTCAGGGCACTACCCATCAGAGCGCATTTTTAGTCCTCCCAGGCATGCGCGAATACCCGGTCATCCTGGGCCAAACTCTTCTTTTACAGCTTCCATTGGCTATCACCCTGAATGGGAAGCGCATCTTTACGGGATTCCACGAGGTCACCCGGTCGCCGTCTGCTCCTACATTGTCCGTCAGCAAGGGCATTTCCCTTGTTGATGGATCACCATCCAAATGTGCCCGTGTTTCCCACATCTTGCAGCAGCATGCTCCTCTTTTTTGCGAATGGTCAGGAAGACGGGGTCTCTTTGCCGACTACGTGGTCTGCATCCCAACGGTTGAGGCCTCTCCTCCCGCCACCAGACAATATCGTCACTCTATTGAGCGTAATATACCCTTCTCTGAAATCATTGACCTTTACCTTGCAGCAGGCATTTTAGAACCCGCGGCCTCGCCATACAATGCACCAGCTTTCCTCGTGGACAAGAAGTGCACCAACCCGGCAGCCCCGGTGGAAAAACGGTTTTGTTTGGTCAAAGACTATTTGGAACTGAATAAGCTGATCATTCCAGACCATGATCCCATGCCCACCGTACAGGAACTTTTGGAGGCATTGGGGCGGAAAAATCAGTTCTTCTGCACCCTGGACTTGCATGCTGGGTACCACCATCTTCCCATTGCGCAGGAAGATCAACCAAAAACAGCCTTCATGTCCCCGCGGGGACAGGTACAGTACAAGGTACTTCCTTTTGGTCTAAAGACAGGGCCGGCCCTGTTTCAGCGTACTATTAATACCATTTTGCGTCCTTTTCTGTTTGAACGATGCCTGGCGTATGTAGATGATGTGATTGTTTTTGGGGAAACCTTTGAAATTTTGTGTGACAATTTAAAAGTGGTACTGCAGACATTACAGGATGGGGGGGGGCATGTGTGGACATAGTAAAGTTGTCTTTCCTAGCGCGTAAAACCCTTTTTCTTGGCTACAAAGTGGATCAGACGGGGAGCAGACCGGCCGAACGGAACGTGGACGCAGTCCGCAAGTACCCTCAACTGGAAACCCGCCGCCAAATGCAGCAGTTCCTAGGCATGGCAACCTACCTGTGCGCACACCTTCCAACAAATTTCGCAGATGCCAAAAAGGCGTTGCGCAGGACAATTCCGCCAAAGCCGGCTACACGGCTGACATGGTCTCTAGAAGCTCTTCAAGCTTTTCAGCATATTAAAAACGTACTAGCTGATATGGCACGGCTGGAGCGGGTGGACCCCAACTGGCCTATTGCTGTTCACTGTGATGCCTTGGCAATTTCTTTGGGGGCAGTCCTAGTTCAAACGGACCCTGAAGGTAACAAGCGTGTGATTGAGTATGCGAGTCAAACCCTTAAAGACGCTGAGACCAGGTATTCTAATACGGAACACAACTTGTTGGCTATTGTTC